ATATTATATTATATTATTTATTCATCATTTTTCTGTTGTGTTTCTTAGTTGTCTGTTCTGGTTTGTATTTCTAAACGTTAGTGTGAAATTCAGCTAAGAGATCAAGTTGTTTAACTATGAACAGGTAATATGTTACTTGTTGTAAATGGCTTTTGAAATGGCCACAGCTTGGAGAAGTAGAAGAATTTTTTTAAACAGATTGTAGAGTGAATGACTAGTTTACTCGGTGCCAAAACCAAAGTGAATTGCTGGCATCTTAAAAYATTTTTTCTATTTCAGCAAATGAACTTGCATAAAAATAAATAAATAAATGTTTTACCAGATGTCCTCACTGATGCAACCTGAAATCTCAGTATTGCAAGACCACAGGACCGCTGAGCAGACCCATTTTAAAACCATTCTAATCTAAAAATAAATAGAGCAATTCATGCAAATAATGCTTTATAAATCTTCACAACACTGTCAATTTAATAATTTAGGCGGGGCTGCCATGCACTGGTGCCACCTGACCCTCTGACCACCATCGATAGGTAAAGTGGGTGAAGTGTTTTGCCCAAGGACACAAAGATTGAAAAGAATGGAATGGAGAAATCAAACCAGCAACCTACCAGTTACAGGATGACTCCCCTAACCACTCGGCCACATCTGCCCCATTTAGATGCCATTTAGTTGCAATTAAAAATGTTTAGATGAATTTAATCATATAAAATAAAGTTGTATGTAAATTTACCTCAATGGGACAAGGTTTCACCCAAGAAGGAATCAGTGAAATAAAACATGGAGGAGCCCAGCTCAACTGTAACTCTGCAGGTTTTTATATTAATGACCGCTTACTGAATGTTGCGTCACATCTTTTTTTTCCTGTCATCCTCAGGTCTTTGGTCATGGGAAAGCCAACGGTGAGCCCACCTGGGCCCTTCTGCTGACAGTTGGGATCTGTGAGATAGGAATCCTCATCGCCTCTGTGGACAACGTGGCCCCCATCCTCTCCATGTATGCACCCACATATCATCAGTGCCTTACTCCTCATACGAAACCTTTGCATCGCCTCAGTTTGTATCRTCCTACCTGTTTAGGTTTTTTCTCATGTGTTACTTGTTCGTCAACTTGGCCTGCGCTGTGCAGACTTTGCTCCGAACTCCCAACTGGAGACCTCGCTTTAAGTTTTACCACTGGTGAGAACACATTTAAATTAACTCTGCAAATTATACATTTAGTAATGTATTATAAGATGTTTTTTTGTGTGTGTGTGTGTGTGTGTGTGTGTGTGTGTGTGTGTGTGTGTGT